CCTCTCCCTCGTGTCGTCGTGTCGTAGTACTACTAGTATATATATATATATATATATATATATATATATATATATGTATGAATGCAAATGTGATAAATTTTTAGAAAAATCCTGGAAGAAACTGAAGAACTGATTGATTCTCTGGAAGGAATAACAAGTGTTCATGGTCGATATTATCAGCTCTGCAGTGACTACAATCAAGTAATAGGGAACCATGCTCAGTATTACAGGGAGGCCTTACGATATCTTGGATGTACAGAATTGACTGATATATCAGGTGTGGTAAAGTTTATTAATGGTTTGCAATTAAATAATTTTGAAAATGTTTATGGTTTTGGGTGTTGTTTTGTATTATACTGTGAAAAATAATGAAAGTCTAGTCTACTTCATGATAATGAAAGTTGTTGATTTTCTCTCTGACTACAAAGTTCGTGTTGGGCATTATACATATACAGCATTGAACTAACTGGCTGACTCAGTAATGAATCAGAATCTCAAGTAACTTATCTAGTACCATTTAACTTGCATTTTATATCATATAAAGTATTTTCTAAACTTTCAATCAAATTCTAGTCATCAGTGTGTTTCTTTTGCATTTGATGTCAAAACTCTCTCTAGCCAACATTAATACAAATGTTTGAATTTAAATAGAAAAAGTTTAATCAGCAACAAAAGGCTTAAATTCTCTAATAACTCCAAATAGTCACTTAATAATGTTCTCATATCTCTATTAATCTGTTGAAACACAGGTTCATTATTCATGAAATTAAAGTAACAAGCAAATTGACTAACGGACTTGCAAATCAATCATCATCTCATCTAGTTTATGTAAGTTACATTTTGTATTATTTAATCATTTCCTACACTTTCAAGAAAGGTCTACTCATTAAAAAGTCCCTCTTGTCAAAAACAGTACAAAATGTCTATTGGAAAGAAATAAGCATAGCTTACAACAATAACATTGATTAACATATAACAATGTTTAGGGACAACAAAGGACCTATTGGTCCATCTCGACTTTCCCATCCTCCAAACTAAACTAATACTATTCAGTAAATACATTGAACAAATATTAAAGCCAGTCCTTATCATTCATATAGTTATCAAGCTTTCTCTTAAACTAACTTGAATTTACTGCCTCCACAACATCTGAAGGCAACCCATTCCAAAGGCCAACCACCCTGTTAGAAAAATAAAACTGTCTTAACTGAAGCTGACTCCTACCCTGCCAAAATTTATCAACAGCATCAACACTATCTATTTTCTTTACAATTTTAAACACCTCAATCAGAACCCCCCTAACTCTTCTTTTTTTCAAGGGAAAACAATTTGAAAGATTTCAACCTCTCCTCGTATGACAACCTCTCCATCCCAGGCACCATTCTAGTAACCCTCCTCTGAACCTTTTCCAACAATTCAATGTCCTTCCTAAGGTAAGGAGCTCAAGACTGAATGCAGTACTCCAAATGTGGCCTAACCAGTGACCTATTACAATGAAATTATAACTTCTTTAGACTTGTATTCAATATTTCTATAGATACAATCTAAAATCCTATTTGCCCAACAACAAGTAACCTGCAAACTGCTGGGATGGGTTAAGAGACTGATCAACTATTACACCAAGATTCTTTTCTTACATGACACTGTTAAGGTTATTCCCATCCAAATTATATTTCTAATTCAAATTATGATAACCCACATGCATTGTCTTGCATTTTTTATAATTAAAACTTATCTGCCACTTATTTGGCCAACTCACTAAATGATCTAAATCCTTTTGTAAATCAGCAGCATCCTCTTCATAGCTAGCAACAACCAAGACTTTAATATCATCTGCAAATTGAAGTAATTTATTGACCATTCCTTTATCTATGAGATTGATGGAAATAAAAAGAGCAAAGGTCCTAAGACTGAGCCTTAAGGTACCCCACTTGTGACATTAATCCAGTTTGACTGAACTCCATTTGTAACAACCCTCTGCTTTATTCTATCCAGCCACTTTTCTATCCAATTAGCTAACTTGTCCCCCAGACTTATAGAGCTAATTTTTTTTACAAGCCTTATATGCGGCACATTGTTAAATTTATTCTGAAAATCCAAGTACACGAAATCTACGTAAGCAGTAATCTTTTCAAAGAATGTCAAAAGATTTGTAAGACAAATTTTTCCTTATTGAAATCATGTTGACTATCAATAAACTTCTAAACTTTATTAAATGACTTTTGCAAAGTATCTTTTATCAGACTTTTGAAAACTTTTCTCACAATTTATGTATGACTAATAGGCTTATAATTTTATTACTTCCCATGAAATGAGGAGTGACATTAGCTAACTTCCAATCCTTTGTCACCTGCCTACTGTTCAAGGACCTGCAAAAAATAGTAGCAAGTGGCTTACATATCCAATTTTTAACCTCCTTCAAAACTCTTGGGGAAATATTATCTGGCCCAGGAACCTTATTGTTCTTTAAACTTCTCAATATTTTCTTAAGAAACTCAGAATTAATGCAGTCATATTGTCTGACCTTGTTTCCATCTATTAACTGTTCAAGATGAGGAATACTACTTATATCTTCATTAGTAAAAACTGAAGAAAAGGCAGAATTGAATAACCCAGCCATCACATAATCATCAGATACAAGCCTCCTTACAAGCCTCAAAGGTCCTATCCTCCATCCTAAATTTTTTTTATCCTTAATGTATTTAAAGAAATCCTTACTGTTAATTTTTACATTTTCATCCAACCTTTTCTCATCCTTTTTGATTTCCTAATTCCCTGTTTCACCAACTGTCTTGATCTTCTATAATCTTCTAAATCTCCTGTCATATCAGTCACTTTAAATTTGTTAAATTTATGATTCTTTTCTTTTATTTCTTAAACTCTTTGTGAGCCAACCTAGCTTTTTACTTGTAGCTACCCTTTTTCTTTCTAAAAGGAACATGTTTACCTTGAATATTTAAACATTTTCCACATTTGATCAGTGTCTTCAGATAACTCAGCTGCCCAATTTACAACAGATAATTTTTGTCACATCCCTTCAAAATTTGCTTTTTTGAAACTAGTAACTAAAATACCATTATTTCTTATCTCCATGTGCAGGAAAACATCGAACCAAATAGAGCAATGATCACTTGCACCCAGATATTTCCCAATTTTCACCTTCTCAACCATTTCAGTATTAGAAGTTAACAATAAATCTAAAATAGTAAGTTCCTTGACCAGTTGGTGAAGAAAACCATCTTGAACAGTTTCCAAAAACCTTTCTCCCTCTTGGTTTGACTCTAGAATTTCCCAATCTATATGCCTGAAATTAATATCACCCGTAATTATGACCTCATTAACAGCTGAAATCTTAATTTTACTGTAAAGTTTCTCACTAATTTCATCAGTGTCATCTGGTGGTCTGTAACAAATTCCCTCTAAAAGCCTTTTCCCTTTATATCCACTAATAGAAACCCAAATGGATTCAATCTCCTTGCTATTATCTTTGATATCTTCAACTTCAACAGGATGTAACTCACATTTTACATAAATAGCTACTTCCTCCCTCCCCACTCCTTTAGTGCTCTATCCCTACTAAATATCCTATAACCCTGTATTTCAAATAAATTTCTGTAATCTAAATCATCCATGTTTCAGTTATTCCAATTATATCAAAATCATCCATTCCTACCAGTGCTCTAAAGTCATCTATTTTATTACTTATACTATTAACATTATAATAGTAACAATTAAGCCTATCGTTAGAACTACTTCTATACTCATTTCCTGTGCTAAATTTTTCTCTACATCTTATTGTTTTTGCATTTTGTTTATACTAGCCGTCACCAATGTCTAGTCCTAGTTTAAATCTTCCTTTACAGCTGAGTTCATAGACCTTGCAAACAAGCCTGACCCTACTCTACTTATATGTAAACTATCCATTTCAAAGAGCTTCCTTCTCCCATTGAACTGATCCCACAAGTACAAACAGTTAATCTGCTTATCCTTACATATTAACCTAAGCTAACATTTAGCCCTAGTGACCTACTTATAATTTCATCCCAACAATCAATTCTCGGCAGTATCCTTCACACAATTAAGTTATAGCCTCTGTTGTTAAATGCCTTTGTCAACCCCTACATGCACAACAAAATCTGCATCATTGCTAGCATCCTTTATTATATATCTTGCTTTGTCAGTTATATCCTCCACCTGTGTCCCTGGGTAGCATAATCTAATTCTTTTCTCCCTGTTTACCCCACATACTATCCTATCAACATCCCTTGTCAAGGAATCACCTATAACTATAACCTCCTTAAGTTTATCATCCACATCCTTCTCTGATGCTTTTGTTTTCTTTCCCTCCAATTGTTCGTCATCTGCACAAGCCAAGGGCTGAAATCTGTTGCTAAATAAAATAGGCTCATTACACTTAAATTCATTACTTTTAGCCCTAATAGTACTCTTTCTAACTTCCTGAAAGTCATTGTTAGTTGATGTATCCCTTGTATGTAAAAGCTTCAACTCGTCTTCAAATCCTACTGCCATTTTCCACAGTTTACATTTCTCTTTATTCATTGCCTCTACTTTAATTAGGATAGTCTCCAGTCTGGAAAAAAAATACTCAATACTAAATACCAGTACCCTATTGGCAACACTGTTAAGCTCAGCATTTGAAAATGAAATATATTAGTTTTTATCACGACTTTATGTTCACGCTAAAGTAATTATGTTTATCTTTAATTCTATAGAAGTGAGAAGTAACTAGTCTTTATTTGATGTTTACATAATACTAATAATAAAATGTATTTGCCTGATTTATAACCTACCTATAAGCTGAATTTAAACTAATGGATCTAAAGTCAAATAAATGTGTTAATCCTTGAAACACAAAGAGATGATTAACTAGTCTTTAGATTGTATTTGTTTAATAAACTATGTATTTAACCTGTTTTACAACTTACAAGTAAGTACAATTATAGCTCAGCCTAAAGTAGTTACACATCCTAAGCCTATTCTAACATTGTAGTACAAGTTACACCACTTTGATCTTTATTTGACTGCATGAATTGCATTTAACTTTATTGAAAATGGAAAAATTAAACCTAGCTTGTATTTATATTTGTTGATCATACTTCATAAATACTGCGGTTTTAGAATTTACATCATTTACAGATTGACTGCACAAATTATGAGACTTACAGCAGAATTAACAAATGTAATTTAGGCTTAAGATAAGCCTATCTCATACTCTTTTGTGTAATATAACATTTAATCATATGACTCACTTTCTGTTAATCTTTTAAAATTAAATTATTATTTTTTAAGTTTATGGTTTACAGTATTTTTTATAGAAGTCATTTTTATTTACTTTCTAGCTTTTCATTTGAATGTCATATATATTAATATCAGATATTCATTTATTATATGTTTGAGCTTCAGGTAGATAATTTTTCAAAACATAATACTTATAATTGTAACAGTATGTATTTTGAAGTTATTTTGAATAATTTTGTTTGAATGGAACGAGTCTGAATTATTTTGGTATTTTAGTTTTTTTCTTTATAAAAAAAATTGCAAAGAATAATAACTTTGTATTTTAAATAAGAACTGTAACTCAGATATTTCAAGGAAAGTGTGCAAAAACATTATCCCGTTAAAAAAAAAGATAATTGAACTAGATAAAAAAATAGCTATAATGTGCACTTATTTTATGTTATATAGCTGAAGAACAGGTATCTCGAGCATTTACACTCTGTTTGGCAGCATTGTTAGGAGAAGGAGTTTATAATTTTGGAGAACTGGTGAGTTTTAAATACAAGGTATATACAGTAACAGCTATCCACTGCTGTGATCTTTATATATAATTTACTGATATGATTTTTCTATGAGTAAGCTAATTTTATTATGCGTAATTAACCACTACTACTTCGTAGTTAGGCATATTAAAGGTAAAATATTTTTGCATATTCCTAAATGAATTATTGCATAAATTGTTGTTTCGAAGATGGTAAATCACCTCTACACACAAAATAGCTTGACTCCTTCATCCATCTGCCTTTGAGGTATGCATGCCACTAGTCTTGATATACCTTCCACCTAAAAAACATGTTTAATGTGAACTGCACTAGTGCATGATGTCATCATGCAACAATATCCCTCCACCAACAGGAGGGTGACATAACCTCCTTATGCAGTAGCTCCCCCCTAAGCACTTGCACTCAAATTAACTTCATTCTTTTCCTTGGCATTGTCTAGAACAGACATGTTTCAAAATTGTTGATCAGTTACTTGAGATTTGTGGACCCCCCCTTAACTTCCGTTTTTAGTGTCCAGTTTTTGTGCCTTCATCTTGTTCTTACCACCTTCCTGCACTACCTCCTCTTGTTACTTTACCTAATGTCTGAGGCACTTCGTCATACTTCAGAGGGATTTCTTAGAAAGGTTTGTTCTCTTTTTTTCACCACATTGACTCATACTACTTCTTCTGCTCTATCCCTTCTTAAATGGTTCCTCTGCTGTTGGGATGGGATGCTCTCCTAACTAAGGTACACCTTCCTCATGCTTATATCTGTGATCTTTGTTGAGCCTCATTTCTCTTCCCAGAGGTCTCCAGGGGTGTTACTGATTCACTGGAGACTTGGGCCGAAGTGACCCAGCATAAGTCCTCATTGTCTACTTTGATTTCTCATCTTTCTCAGTCTCACCATCCTGTTCCTATTTTTAGGCTAGCTGAATCCAGGCCTACTCTTCCTGCTTCCCAGTTGTTTTTACCATCCTCCCACTTCTCAATGTCAGCGTTGTCGTTCATCTCATTGGTGACTACTTTATTGGGTCTGCCCTTGTGGGACCCCATCTGTCTCTCCTTGGTGGCCTTTGATCTCCATTTTCATCTAACAGTTGGGTTTTCAGGTTCTCACCAATGGTCTTAACTCTACACTTCCCTTCGTCTTCTCTCGTTTCCCCTTCTCTAGTTTTTTTTCCTACTCCCTCCAATCACCTGTATCTTCAGTGTCTTGAAAATATGGTCTCGGATCTCTTGGCCAAGAATGCCATCAAAAGAGAGAGGGAGCACCAGTTCTATGACTCTTTGCCTTTGTGCATTGGTCCTGCTGGTTTGGGCTCATTCCCATCATATTCATCTCACTGTTTTTTATGTCCCAGGAGTTCTGAACTTTGTGGCAGATTGCCTTTTTCGGCTGGACAGGATTCTACCTACAAAGTGGTTTCTCCACCCTCAGGTTTTTCATTGTGTTTGCTCTCAGTTGGGCACACCTCTCATTGATGCCTTCACCACTCCTCTCAACCTGTTCCTCATACTTTGGGCCTGGTGGTCAGTGCTTTCAGCTAAGACTGGTCTCACCTTTTTCTCTATGCTTTCCCTCCTATTTGTCCTCTCCCACATGTCTTAGCTTGTTGGGTCCTGTTGGTGGTGCCTCTTTGGCTGGCAAAACTCTAGTTTCTTCTACCACATCAACTGGTATCCAGGCCTCCTCTTCATCTACTCCATTCCCACTCTTTCATACTCCAACCACACATATCTCTTTCATCCAGGAGTGTCATACTTTCATCTTCACAAATCAGATTTTTCCAGGCCATTGCTTGCATGGCTGGTCCCTCCCATCGTGTAGCATTCTTCTTATCCCATTCCTTCATCTTCTGGGTGTTTTATCTTGTGTGGGATTTTGACTCCCTCCAGTTGCTGTTCTTCCATCTACACACTATTTTTAAGAAGGGTAAGTGCATATTCTTCATAACTTTCTTCCTTTTCATAGAATCCCTCAGATGGTCGGTGCTGCCTCCCAGGTTATGTTTCTTTCCCAAAATCTGTACTGGGCCAGGGGAAACAGAAAGCACTTTCAGAAGTGGGTATACTACAAGACCGCTAGAGGTTTCCTTGTGGTATTAAATTTACTCACTTGCCTGATCCAGACTGTACCTGTCATGGACTATCATAGAAAAAAAAAGAGCTAATCTAAGTTTAATGTTTGCACTGGCCCATCAACCGTTTCAATGTGGTATTCTAGCTGTTTTGTGTGAAGAGGCGAGCTATTGTCTTGAAATTAACATTTTCCTTACCTTAGCTCTGAATTTCACTTTATAGGTAACATTTTACTTTTTGCTGATTAAGTTCCAAATTCTTTTGATTTGTTTAGTTAGTCCAGTGTGGATGGTAAGGAACAAAAAGTTAGCTTTTTTTTTTTTTTTACATTATTGGTCACTGTACCTTGACATTTTTTGTGCCTACTGTTGTTGTTTATTACTTGAAGATATTAGCTGAACACTGGTGATATATTGTGTTAGTGTGTCTCATTAATTGACTTATTGCAGTAGAGAAATAGTTCTGTAACTATCAAAAGGAAATAATATAATACAAACTCACTATCATCAACAACAAAATTATCCCAGGTCTCTGATTACTTAGAAAGTAATTTTAGAATCACTCTATATTCGACCTATAGATGTCTTACCAGATCACTTTTTGAGGACTTGCATTTAATGATTAGCAAGTTGTTTAAATCATTTTGATGCTTGCCACCTCTCTTTTTTTACAATGCTTTAAAATTTTTACCTACCCAGGATTGGGGACGCTAGGTAATTATTCACCCCCCCGGAAACAGTGTAATAATAGTACAATGTTATGTTTACAAAGAAGATTTTTAAACCCATATTCATGGGATTGTGATTAGGCTTGTTCTGGTTCACTCACATATCAGTCTTAGTTGTTTTGTAATTTTCTGCTTTAGTTTTAACTTAAGCTGTTCAAAGAAGATTCAGAAGTTGAGATGCTGAAATTGTTTGATTTGTTTATATGTTATATTGTTTGGAAGGTGTTAGATAGTGATAATTTTGATATAAATTTCAGTATTTACATCAAAGTTAACAAAAACTGAAAACAAAAATACTAATGTTTTGAAATTTACTTCCCGAGAATGTACTTGCATGTACTATGACATTTTGTTCTCTACAACTTTATAATTTGTGTTTGCATTAGATTATTTTCTCTCTTTCATGAAACAGCTAGCTCATCCCATCTTGGACAGCTTAAGAGGTTCTGACAAGCAGTGGGTGATAGATCTGTTATATGCCTTCAACAGTGGAAATATTGACAGGTTTGAAGAGATGAAGTCTTCCTGGAAGACACAAGTGAGACAAGTTTTTACAATTTCATTATATGTACATATCTGTGTGTATGTATGTATAGAAAATTAATACTTAAACAGTCAAGCAAAATCAAATGAAAAGGAAGGACTGTGTTAAAAACAGCAAATCCAAACCTATGATAAATGACATTTAAATGAACAAAACAAGCCCAAAGAAAATTAAATTAAAGACACTGCATAAATCAAAAGGATTCTTAGGGTACAGGCTATAATGTGGAATATAAAATGTGCCCTGGAGTTTGGAGGTGATTGCGGAAGTAGGACCCACATTGTGGTGGGAATACACTGTCTGTCAGTCTTAATCTTTATTTGCCAGTCTCACATGAAGAAATTCATAAAACATCAAATTGGGCTTGTTTTGTTTATTTGCATATATATATATATGTGTATAGAAAAGATATACTTTATAAAAACAATCTTAAACATATTTTATGTCTCTATCACATAAAACTACCAACTTTCATTTTGCCCTCCTTGTGTTTAAAATTTTAGATTTTGTATTATTAGTCATTTGGAAAAGTAATTTTTTGTATAAAATTTGTATTTGACTTATTTAATAGTAAAATTTGAACTCTCGGGATTCTGTGAAACTTGTATAAATAATATGCTATTTAGCTGTTAGGAGAACCAACTTTAAGTATGATCTATAAATATTAGATCTTGTTGTCATTAAGTTCTTACTTACTGGCTTGTTTGGTTGTATAAAGAAGTAAAGTGTATGACTTCAAAAGGATTTAGCCATTATATTTTTTCAGCTAAGAATTTAGTTTAGTTGGAAAATCAAAAATACTTAGAAAATAGCCTGAACATTCAGATTGATCTATACTGCACTTATACAAGTTTTTTTCTTGTTTATTTTAGTGTGATTTTGTATTGGCTTATTTTGTAGATGCTATTGTTCAATCACAATTATGATGATTTGTTCTTAGATAAGCTATTTTTGGTAGCTGTTTCAAGTGAATAGTTTTTATATAAATATAAGCACTATTTATTAAAATTAATGTTACTTTTTTTTGGAGAATCATTTGTAAGAATATTTTTTGCATTGTGTCATTGTATCTAACCTTAAAGTATTTTTTTTTTTATAACAACTAGAATAACTTAATTAAATGTTATCGAAATATTATTTTGTTTTCTTTCTACCTGCCATTGCACATATGAAAACAGATTGCACATTGTCTTCTATAAATATGAAGTAATAATTGAGTCTGATATTCTACAGCCAGATCTTGCAGCTCGAGAATTGGCATTGAGGCAGAAAATTTCATTGTTGTGTTTAATGGAGGTAAGTGATATTTCGTGTGTGTTTAGTATGACAAAAAAACATGGCAATTTAGGATGATTCAAGAAACTGTTGTATGAGTTTTTTCTAGAGAACTTTGCATCCATTGTGTGCATAATATTTCAATTTCATGATTTAGAAATTTAAATTTAAGATTTTTGACTTTTTTTTTTTTTCTGTAATCACCTCGTACTCGGATGGTCATATACAGACTCTTAATTCATTATTTAAAGTGTGTTTTAAACACTTCAAAAGAAGATGTGAATTGGCATTGATTAGTCTTTTGTAAAAAGTTAAGATATTAAGACCATAATTAGCTAGTATAAAACAGTTGAATGGGTTTCTTAAGTCATTGTTTGTGAGATTTTTATTATACCACAAGCTGTGGATGTAAAGTATGAGCATGAAATAAAATAACTACTGGTAGAAGAGTTTTGTCATCACTTATACATGTTAATATTTTATGGCATAGTGGTAGAAATATAAAATTTTAGGTATTTTTGTGTTTTTTTGCTGTACTGGGCATGGCCTAATGTTTAACATGTCAAGAATGTGTATCTGAGGGTTCACAATTGTGTATCCATTGTTCAAAAACACACTTAGCATATTTGGGATCATGGTTGAACTATAAGTTAGTCAAATCCTGCTGTTTGATTGAACAAGAATAGTCCAAGAGTTGATATTAGGTGCTGTTGAATAGCTGTTTCACTCTAGTCCATCTGTTCAAAATTAGCGATGGCTAAGTACAGATAGCCTTATGTGTAGTTTTGTGCAAACTTAAGAAACAAATGATAATTTTTTTGTTATTCATTTGTGCTTAATATCAGTTGTACAATTGGAAATCAGAACTTTCATTTGTATAATTCTGATGAAGATGTGTAAAGCAGGAAGATGTTTCATATAATTTTGAATTTATCAGTATATTTATACACAATTTTCACCATAGATATGTCTAGTTTTTTCATGTTATATCTAATGCAAAGCTATATTTTTCAAATGGCCTTTATAATCTCTTAGTATCTAATGCCATCTTTTTTATGTTAGATGACTTTTAAACGTCCAGGTAATCACCGCATTCTGAAATTCAGTGACATTGCTTCAGAAACAAAGCTCCCAGTTGAAGAGGTCTGTTGTGAAACTTAATTTTTTATGTAAACTTTAAATAATGTTTAATTAATTTTGCTTTAAAATAATTTGTAATATAACATTTTTAGATACACATTTTACAATTTAATATGAACTTGTTTGAGATCTTCCTGACAACAAATGTTTTTGTGTTGCTAGATATGATTTTCTTTGGAATTTGTCAGTGGCTTTTTAGGACTGTTGTATATATATGAATATTTAATTATGAAGGAGATAAATTTTGAATTTAAATTTAGATAATAACTGTTGCTTTCACTAATCTGCAAATTCATACTATCTACAGGTTAGAGTGAATATGTTACGTGTTAGAATGATTCAAAAAACTTTTATGAGTTTTTGCTAGAGAACTTTGTATCAATTACATTCATAAGTTTTCAAGTTCGTAGTTTAGAAATTGAAATTAAAGACTTCTGACATTTTTTTCACTTTTTCTGCAATCACCTTGTACTTGGTACTAATGTAATGGGACTACATTATATTGCTAAAGATAAATTCTCAGCTTAAACATGTGTTGCTTGTATTATTCAAATGCAGGCAAACATTATCTTATTGTGTTTCATAATTTGATTTTCTAAATATTGTGGATTGGATCTAGAACTTGTATATAGTATATTAATTGTATAAACAAAAGGTTGCATAGATAATAAAGGATCCAAACCTTAGCATAAATATATCTGTTATGTTTCAGATGTAATTTTAATCTCTACATAATGATGAGTAGAAATCCAAGGAATTATATTATTGTCAGTATGCTAAGAGTAATTTAAGGAAATGTATGTGTTTATAATGGTAAGCAGTATTTGACCTAAGAGTGGTTTGGTATACTTTATGTTGCAAATGTACATAACATTAAGCTAATTTATGACAGTTTCTGTTTTTGCATTGTTGTTATGGAAACAAAGAACTTGCATGATATTTGCTCAAAACATATGCAGTGCCAGTCAAAATGTAGGAGAGCATATCTGATATATTTTATTCACTGTTTCCTAACATATATTTTAAATGTATTTTATGAACATTTCAAGTAATCATACAAATAACTAAATTTAAAAAGAAAGCTTTATTGAATTTCAAATTAATGGGAACCTGAGCTTTTCCTTAATTAGTAACATAAAGAACACTTTATCAAAATGGTTTAACAAAAATGTTAACCTATAAATAGATATTAGAGATTTTTCTAGAGTATTTTTACAAAACAATCAATTACTTTAAGTTAACTCCTTTTTGTAATACTGAACAAAACATTTTTGCAGACATAAATTTTCCTACATATTAACCAACAAAGCTTATTACATCTAATTGCTGAAGATGTGGACTAGGTAGAACACATTCAACTGTAATGACCTAGTTTGTTATAGACTTTTAATAAAAAATAATTATATTGTAAATTGAAAAATAATGGACTTGGATCTGTAAAATTATTATTTTTTTCATACTACAGGTTGAGTTATTAGTCATGAAGGCATTGTCCCTTGATCTTGTTCGTGGTGCAATAGATCAAGTAGACAAGAAAGTTCATATGTATTGGGTACAACCCAGAGTTCTTGACAGAAATCAGGTAAGTATATTTTGTAATAAAGCTATTATGTAATAAGTAGGATGGTTATAAACAAAACCCTGTATTTAAAATTATCATATTATACAGAATACTTGTTCTATGGGACTAAAGTTCACCACAGACACTCTAAGAATCATAAACTTTATTCAGAAAAGTTTCAAAAACTTTCACAGAGGATATTCAGTATGCTTTCTACCATTCTCGGTCAACGTGTCAAGCATATTTCAAAAAACCATAATCTCTTCTGTACACAGTTTGTTGATTCTTGCAATATCCTACATACTGACATGTATTTATTCAAATCAGCAAGAGTGAAAGAAGAGAAATAAAAGCAGTGCTAGTTTGTGGGAAAAATGAGTTAGGTATGCAGTATAATATGATTTTGAAACACCCTGTACTATGTCCAAACTTTCCTGAATAAAACGAATGAATCTCAATGAACTTCCAGCAAAATTTATTTGCCCTATTTTTTAAAATATCTAAAGTATTAAAACTTTTAACAAATAATAGTAAAGTGTTTTATGGATACTTAACCACAGTAAATATAAATTTAATCAAGAACACCTTAGGTGTGAAAAAAAAACAACAAAAGGTGCAACATGCAAATTAAAGGAATGTTTGTCAAATTTGAGAGGTTTTTGTTGAATAACTTTGCATGTGTGGCTTATATTTACACCAAATGAGACACCTAATTATAGGTTGAACAGATCTATTAGTTCACCAAATTTGGGAAAATCCATAAAAGTTTTGGTGCAAAGAAAAAGGAAGAAACTCATCCAAAATTAGACATATTATATTTTGGGTATTTCTCAACCTTATCGCCATGGGTATCCTAAACTGCGCATGACACAAGATTTTAGTGGCTTACATTCAAAATTCTATTAAATTACTTTTTGTTTATGTTATACCAATTAGTATATCTTAACTAATAATCCATATTTTAATAGTATATTAATTGTACATTCTTAATTCTATTAGACAATATTTTAAAAAATCCTGAATTTCTCCTTAGTATGACACACATGGTACATTTTCTCTAAGTATCTTCTCTTTTCTATTTTATCCACCACCCCTCCAGTAACTATGGAATTTAACGTAAATTACTCACTATAAGATCGTCATTGCTCAGATAAACCAAACTTTTTATAGCCTTCAATTTTCTTTGATTACAGAGCTATCAAATAGAAAATCAGACCCCCCCCCTGCCACATCCTCTCTCTTACATTTAATTATATGTTACCTATAACCAATAGAAAGCCAAGTTTTCATCTACCAATTGACATATCATATTACGTTGTGTTCTGAACAGATAATCATCAATTTCACTTGTAATACAAGATTGGTTGTCATGGGGGATGACAATGGCTAGCTTGGGTGAATTTGTAACAGCTCTTGTCACATAGTTAGAAAGCCAAAAAAATTGTGATTGTTAGAAGAAATTGTCCGCTTTTTTGCATTTTATCTTTCTATGTTCTTTCTTGCATTATTTAATTAAATAAAAATTATTTAATGCACTACTACCATAAGTATAAAAAAAAAAAAAGTAGGGTTAAGTGTCATCAATAGTCAACAGCAAAAAAAAAGAATACTCGGATAAATACTTTATTTCTTGTTTTTCATGTTTATTCTTTATTTATTATTATAAAGGTAACTAAAATATATAAACAGGTATCTCTTTAGGTTAATTAAGGTTAGATTAGGTAAAATAAATGATAATATAATTAAAATATTTTACGAGGCATGAGCGAGCAGTTCAGAATGGCTTGTGGGTAAGGTAATTCAATAGCATAACATGATGTGCAAATCCCCCAAGTGATTTACAACTTATAATGATGCAGATAGTAGTTAGACACAGTTTTAAGGGCAATAAAATAATAAAATTTAATTATAAATAGATGTATATTATTACAAGTTTAAAGCCACTAAGGATAAATGAGGGTAGTTTCATGTTACATTTGAAGACATTCTAGAAAGAAAAAGAGGTTAAGTTAGATTTATTTCGATTTTTTTTTGGTGATTACGAGGGCGGTCGAATTGACCAACTACGTATAGAGTTAGGGTAGTTTGTTTTTGTAATTAAGCACAAAGCTACACAATGGGCTATCTGTGCTCTGCCCACCACGGGTATCAAAACCCAGATTCTAGCATTGTAAGTCCGCAAACATACTGCTGTGCCACTGGGGGGCAGTTAGGGTAGAGAAAATTACAGATAAATTATAAAGTTTTACTAAAAACAAACAGTTGAAATGTATTTAGGAGGTTTTAGAGATTACACGAATGAAATTTGAGATTTTTGATATGAAGAAAAGTATTTTTAATTTTAACATGAAAATCACTTTGCTCACGGACTATTCAAAACAAATACTCAATATATTCAAGGACAAATATTTTTTTAGTTTAGTTTATTATGTGAAAGACATAATGTTTACTGAAAGACTGTCAAATTTCTTGAAGATATACACACTATATTAAAAGTTAATGGTATCAAATCTATAAAGACTTTGAATGAGTACAAAGAAGTCACATGGTCATTCAAATTGACCAAGCCCATGTTGAGTGAGTTAATGGATTGCCTTGAAATTTGGTATGTGAAGTAAGAGTCCAGTAGAGCACATCCACTGAAAATATGTGATAGTTTGGACTACCACAGTCTGAGATACAGAAGGTGGAAAATTTCTAAACTATCAGTCCTATTAATAACACACACACACTATGTCCTGTAGGTTGTTTTGTTTTCACAGCACACTGCCGTGTGTTTTGATATGAAACTTTTGTGTATATTATGCAACTTTGAGAGAGTAAGATTAAGCAAAGCTTTTGATTCCAAATACTTTTGTTCATATCACTCCAGGTACATATATGAACATCACACCCTTGCGAATAATGAACATGTATATACACACGCAAACACACACACACACGCACACATATATATATATATATATATATATATATACACATACTTACAAATACTATTTACCACGAAATTTGAAACATGTCAAAACTTCTCAATGTTTCATTTTGTAAGTATTTGTTTCAGATTATTTTACACATCACATTTTTTAATGTGAATATTTAATTGCATAACCAGAATTGAATTAGTTCTTGATCATAATTTTGTAAGGTGATTAAATTGATTATAAATCCTGTTCCAATTACACAAATACTTTTATAGAGAAATTACCATAATGTTGGCTTTAGTAAGATTTATATTGCTGAGATAAATTCTTAGCTTAAAACATTTAACTCTCTTTAATATTATTTTTGATCAAATGCATATTATTTTTTGCTTCCTTTTTCAACAGATCGGAGGTATGAAGGAGCGACTTGAACACTGGTGTCAAGACGTTCAGTCAATGGAGATTCTCTTAGAGAACAAAGCCCATGATATTCTTACATAAACAGAATTTTTTTGCTTTAAAACCTCTGGAAGCCTGTTTCATTTGATCATATTTTCGCGTGTTATTAATTGTATAACGTTTTATAAACTGTCATTTGTGTCAGTAGGAGTATGTTCTGTAATAATAAAATGGTTCATAAATCACTTGTTTTTGCTACTTTAATTATTTTGTAATTTCTACTTGGACATAATAATAATATGTAAGTTTGATAAAAAAAAAGAGAGATGCAGCTGAATTTTTCAATTCACTAAATAATTATTATGAGGATTAAGTGGATAAAACAATTTTCACCCATTATTTACCACTTTAAAATTTGTTTTATGGTCTTTAGTTTGAAGGATCTGTTTTTTGACATTAGTTTTATATCTTGTGTTATTTCAGCCTAACTATGTTGTTTGTATTTTATTTGTGGTTCTTCCTTATGGTGTTGTAAAAAGAAAAAAAAACAGGTTCATGGATAATAAATAAAGAGTTAAAACCTTCCAAAATAACCCAAAGAAGGATGCAACCCTCAGCATATTTTTTGAGATTGTTTAACATTTTTTTAGAATTGATTGCAAATAGATATTAGTGGAAAGCAAAATTATGCCATGTTTCACAGTATCTGTTAAACTTGATATTTTGAATGCTGTATGGAAAATGATTATAGTAAAAATTTCTGCATAACACTATAATCAGTTGTAGGAAGTAAACCACCAGATGCAGTACACATGACTGTTATTACTTTATCTTGATACTGCAACCTGGAAATTTTTAAGAAAAATATAAAAGTAATTTTAATCCTCCAACTGTAACATATGTCTTTTATAAACTTTTTTATAATTTTCAATAAAATTCTATAGAAACCATCAGTCAGAAAAAAAATGACCTAGGAAATTAATTATATTTGGATCAAAATGAAGTATCAAATTCAATGATAGTATTGCATCAATTAATTGTTCCCTTTATGTAAAGAGAGAGAGAAATTGCTGAGATACTGCTTGATGTTTTATGGCTAGATTTTTTTTCGTGAACATGTAGATAGTTAATAAGAGCAAGATGGAGAATTACTGGTGAACAAGGATCTGTCTTATCTGATGCTTTCTGTTGATGAACCTTGTATCTGATGGAGATCAGAAAGGAGCATTTTTAACTGAGACTAACAATGACGTTGATTCAGTAAATACTTGATATTTAATAAAATATTTCATTGATAACTTAAGGATTGAAAAAGTATTGTTCCCAGTAACTATTAAGTAGTGAATTTTCACATAAAACTGCTAATATTAAAGTATTTGTTATCCAGTTATAAAAGAATATACTATTATGTTATTTCACTGCATCTTGAAGTAAATAATTTCTTTGAATAATTGTTATAATAATAGTGGAACATTAACAAAATGGTTTGGAATTGAATAGAATAGATCAGAAGTTAAACTAAATAATTTTCTTTTTATAGTTTACACTGGATTTACAGGAACAGTAATTAAACCAAAAGTATCTACTGTGAGTAAGTTGTTATAAAGAAACTTTGTTCGAATTTCTTAGTATTTATTTCAAACTGTATTATGATACTTATTAAAGAGTTATTGGGAAAATTCTACTGATTACTATAAGAATATTAGTATAAAGCTGATTGGCCTTTCAATAACTTGATGTTTAGTTGTTTACTGATAAATTGAACATCACTAAATTTTCGACAGCAAATCAAATTTTACACTTGCACAAAATGACAAATGGACACTTTTCTTTACAAGGATATATTCCCAAAGCTTAGCTAGTAAAAACAAAACACTACTTTACTTCAATTCTGTAAATTTCAAATTAACAATGCATCACCTTATAAGACTCAGTAAATTATTTATTCAGCTTCTCATACTACTTCCTGCTTTCAACATTTTCTGGTTTACGTTTCTGTTCTAAATTACTAGATTTTCGGTCTTCAAGTTTTGCTTCACGATTCATATTATTCAACATGTCAGTTAATAAGATCACAATTCAGATGAATGATTTTAAACTTGTCCGGTTGGAATAGTACAAACATAAATTCAGTTCTCTGAAACAAATAATTCTCTCTTCTTGTGCAATCGGAGAACTGTTAACGTCGAACCCTGAAGGAAATATATTATTCACTGTAATACTTGTTTTATATTACTTTAAAACCGACAACCATCTAGGTCTTAATTACAAACAGGGAAAACATAGCTTGTCCAGTATCCAAATACTGTATAAATAATATCTGATGAAAAGTCACATATGTAACTTTATCTTATCATTAACATTGTGTATTTCTTGAGTCTACCACATGTCAGTGACTTAACCAGTTTTAGACAATTTATCTCCTTGGCAATTGGGCTGAACAATAACAAACTAAAAAGTAAGGCAAGCCTCTTATGGTAGTGAACAGCTAGCTTAGATGTATGTTGAGTAAAGGAACACTATTAGTATTACAAACATTAAGTTACATTACCAGGGCTGCAGTGCCGCTCCGGCCGTGAAATTGGGACTGGGCACTTCAGAAACTAAAAATACTTTAATTAAAAATTAGCTACTTGGTTTACCCAGAAATTAAGTATCTTTCATAACCAAACTCAGACTTTTAAAAAACACACTTACTGTTTGTAAGTAGCACTGTCCGCTGGTAGAACTCCATCAAATACACACACACTGTTACTCTCCCTCAGGAGCTGGTATCAGGCACTGTTTGACCGGTCTGGCTAAAGAGCAAGTATAAGAGCGTTATAATTGTGAAATGTTTTTTGTCATACGTCACGGAGTTATTAAAATATACGAATATTGTATTGAAATGCTTAATAAAATACGTTTTACAACTACTGTGCGTGCTTAAAACGTACACATTTTAAAAAATATTATTTACATAATGTATAGCGAAAGTCGTTTTTTTAAGTTAATCGTGTTGGCAGGACAAGAGGTGTGCAAACATTATAAAAGTCAAAGTTGTTAATACTGTAGTGCAGCTAGGAATATAGTAAATTAATAAGGCAAACGTTTCTAAACCTTGTTTATCAGTGATTTTTATGGTATCAATTTGTTACTTTCTTGCTGCCTAGTTTAGAAAAAGTTGAGTATCGTGTGTTACCTCGGTAATATATGCATATTTACTATTAATGTAAGTAGTCTCAAATAAATAATGCTGAATATATTTTCTTTATTGAAAAGGTACTCATTAAAATGGAAATTAGGTTTTGAATATGACATCTTTACCCTGGTGGTGACGTCACATGTCTGACAATTTTTTGCCGGGCTCCGGTATTATCAAATTTAGCATTACACCACTGTACATTATCCTTTTAAGTAATTTCATATTCGTAATTTTTTAATTAATTTTCTGAATTAGCATCTCTCAAATCTATATGATTATAGAACAACTCATTACCGTATTGCACTGGAAATAATATATGAATTTGAGAAAAAAATGTCTTTTAACAGTGTTTGTGTAGCCTATCTTAGGAAAGATCTAAATATTGAAAAAGCAATTGAGATTTTGCTAAAATATTTAATTGAAATTTCGTGGTAAAGTGAAGAACAATTTAATTTACCAAAAAATTCGAAGTAGCTGAGGTTTAGCATAACTGAAGTCACAGAGAGTACAAGAAAGAAGTTAGTAAACTTTTGAATTTTATATTCCAGAAAAGGTCATTTTTGTGGATGGTGGTGGTGATTTGATTCAACCATATAATTCGTGGTTGTTCGATTTAATATAACAAGAGAGAGGTTGAGTACGCTATTTAATTGGTAGAAAAAATAATATAACAAGATATACTAAACATGTTAATAAATTTAATTGGGCATTTAATTAGTAGAATTAAGAAACGAAGTAAGTGAATATTAAATGAAAAAAATAAAATAAGTTTTTCAGTGACATTGTGCAAATGCATGCAACTCAAATTAGGTCACGCAAGATTGAACAAGTTAACTATCCTATGAATGATAAAAAGAAATGTGCTGTATGTTAAACCACCGAAGATAAGATGTTAACTACAAATATATATACATATTAAAAATATATACTGTTGTAGACGTAAGTGTCGGGCAATGCCCTCCATCTGGTATCTTTAACTGAACAGTAAAACCGTAAATGAGAAAGTTATAAATCGAATGTCGCATGACAGTATAGCAAATAGACGTGTCTGACAATGTTTACAAACACTTGAAACCATGTGAGATAATTACATATTGTTACGTATCTGCTTGTTCGTTTGTTTCCGGGAGAAATCCTTTACGAGGATCTTCAGCGATACAAGTCCTTTTTTGATTAAACCAGTTTATTCTTCCTCGATACAAACTTTTAGCACACAGAAGTTCCACAATCAGTATGTTTCTCATCACTTTCAACTTAACAACTTTTATAATACACGCTATCAATCACAGCGATTCATAGTCTCGATAACTTCACTCTTGACGAGTGCAAAACACACACTTTATGGCTCACTAGCTCGAAACTAACAGGATCATAAATTACACGGAACTCAAAGTAACTACTGCTCTCTCTTCATTCATATATGCTGGCTTTTTCTACCAGGCTTATATACTAATGAAGAAGGCATCTCGATCACACTCGGACTTCCCCGATCATTCTAGAAACTCATCATGCACGCGTCAGCAGCGTGACGTGACTTCCGCTGTCGTAACAATATATACACGTACGTGTATGTGTATATATATATATATATGTACACACAAAGAAACTGAAAATTTGGTAAAAAAGGAGTAGTCGACACAAGTTATAAGAAAATATCTATGAAAAATATATAATTTATTCTATTAAGGTACTAAAAGAAGTTAAAACTAAATAATAGGAACATTACAAAAAGTTAAAACGTTCACTTTTCCCATTGGGGTGGATAATTCCCAGGTCAAAAAATGTTTTCTTGTACTTGTTTGTAGGAGCCTTCTTCAAAACAAGTATTTTAAAATGTTCAAAGGCATGGTTGGGCAAAATAAAGTGTAGAGCCACTAGTTTATCTGTCTTACGATTTATTATGTCTCTGACATGTTCTCGGGTCTGTTCTACTAATAATCTATTGGTTTCTCCTACTTATAATTTTCCACAACACGTACATACAGTGAAATATATTGTTACGTCTCTCTTCGTTTGTTAATTTTCCGTAAAAATTCTTTCCGAAGAAACATTAGCGATACC